TATTTATCAGGGAAAGAATCCGCCGGCCTCCTTCAAGTTGGGCACGGGGGACTATGTTTACATACTAAAAGAGAACCCTGGGCCTGAGCCCTTTCCGGGAAAAAAAACGTGGCAGAACCAGACGGGCATATCGGGTGGGTAGACCCTAACATGCGGGTGACCAGGTCAAGCAGGCGGGTTGCTGAAGCGTGCGTCCTGCATGAATCGCGAGGAAGTCTCGAGCGACAGCAAGATTCGCAAATAAATCTGAAGGAAATCCGCATCGAGAGCGTGATTCCTGAGTGTCGAGGGCGCGGCGTCTGAAAACATGATCGACCCACGAACCCGGAAAGGAATGTAGAACTGTAACACATGGCAGCGTTTTCAAAGACACCTGATTGGGTGACGGGCAAATGCAATGCTGAGTGTATCGATCTTGATGTACCCCGCCGAGGGCTGTGCTGTGCTGCGCCGTGCTGAATTGCGATGTGCCATGGCGCGACTGTGCTCTATAGCGTCGTGGATCGAGTCCTCCTTTGCATCCGAGTCCTGACCGAACTGATCTGGATCTTAAGCTCGAGCTGCCTGAACACATAGTAGCTGCCCCAGAGCTAATGGACAGGGGAACATGCCAGGAGGACGCGCCGCGAAACGTCCCAAGGGATGCGCCAGGCGACGTGCCAGGGGACGCGCCATGGGGTCGCACCGTAGGACGTGCCAAAGGACGCGCTACGGAACGTGCCAATGGATGTGCCACGGGATGTGCCAGGGGACGCGCCACGCGACGTGCCAGGGGGACTCGCCAAGGGACGCCCCACGGAACGTGCCAAGGAACGTGCCAAATTGCAATGCTGAGTGTATCGATCTTGATGTACCGTGCCGAGGGCTGTGCTGTGCTGCGCCGTGCTGAATTGCGATGTGCCATGGCGCGATTGTGCTCTATAGCCTCGTGGATCGAGTCCTCCTTTGCATCCGAGTCCTGACCGAACTGATCTGGATCTTAAGCTCGAGCTGCCTGAACACATAGTAGCTGCCCCAGAGCTAATGGACAGGGGACCATGCCAGGAGGACGCGACGCGGAACGTCTCAAGGGACGCGCCAAGCGACGTGCCAAAGGACGTGCCATGGGGTCGCACCGCGGGACGTGCCAAGGGGACGCGCTACGGAACGTGCCAATGGATGTGCCATGGGATGTGCCAGGGGACGCGCCACGCGACGTGCCAGGGGGACTCGCCAAGGGACGCCCCACGGAACGTGCCAAGCGAGCGTGACGTGAATCCTCTGAATTCCTGCGAGCGGGACGTGAAAACAAACATTTCGCCTGATACATCCTCTGAGTTCTGGCCACCCACGAGGCTCCCGCTCGAGACATCCTCAACAAATTCTGAAAAACAAGCGTTTCGCTCGAGACATCCTGACAATATCCAAAGAATTCCTAGCAAAACAAGCGAATTAGTCGAGACATCCTCAACAAATTATGAAAAACAAGCGTTTCGCTCGAGACATCCTGTCAAAATCCAAAGAAATCCTCGCTAAACAAACGAATTAGTCGAGACATCCTCAAAATTCCTGCGCGCGGGACGCGGCACGCGCGAGACATCCTCGGAATTCCTGCGAGCGGGACGTGAAAACAAGCATTTCGCTTGAGACATCCTCTCAATTCTGGCCACCCACGAGGCTCCCGCTCGAGACATCCCCCCAATTTTGCAAAACCAGCGTTTCGCTCGAGACATCCTCAACAAATTCTGAAAAACAAGCGTTTCGCTCGAGACATCCTGTCAAAATCCAAAGAATTCCTCGCAAAACAAGCGAATTAGTCGAGACATCCTCGAAATTCCTCCGCGCGGGACGCGGCCCGCGCGAGACATCCTTGGAATTCCCGCGAGCGGGACACGAAAACAAGCATTTCGCCTGAGACATCCTCTGAATTCTGGCCCCCCGCTCGAGACATCCCCAAAGTTTGCAGAAACCAGCGTTTCGCTCGAGACATCCTCCCCAAACTATGTAAAATAAGCGTTTCGCTCGAGACATCCGGTCAAAATTCTAAGAAATCCTGACAAAACAAACGAATTAGTCGAGACATCCTCGAAATTCCTGCGCGCGGGACGCGGCCCGCGCGAGACATCCTTGGAATTCCCGCGAGCGGGACACGAAAACAAGCATTTCGCCTGAGACATCCTCTGAATTCTGGCCCCCCGCTCGAGACATCTCCAAATTTTGCGGAAACCAGCGTTTCGCTCGAGACATCCTCCACAAACTATGTAAAATAAGCGTTTCGCTCGAGACATCCTGCCAAAGTTCTAAGAAATCCTGACAAAACAAGCGAATTAGTCGAGACATCCTCGAAATTCCTGCGCGCGGGACGCGGCACGCGCGAGACATCCTCGGAATTCCTGCGCGCGGGGCGCTTTTCCGAGTCGCGGTCGGGGCTCCAGACCCCGTTATTTTTCGAGGATTCTGCGAAAAACGCTCCGCACCCTCTTTTTTACGAGGGAAAGCGGGGGTCTGCGGACCCCGTTATTTATCGAGGATCCGAGATGGGGGGCGAACTTTCCTCGAGCGGGCACGCACAAAACGCACTTTTTCTAAAAAAATCAGCACTTTACCTCGTTATTTATCGCAAATAATTTCGCCGGCGCTTGACCCGTCAGATCCGGGGGTAAACGGCTAAAAGAGAACCCTGGGCCCAAGCCCTTTCCGGGAAAAATGTGAGGGCGTCCCACGCGAGAGCGCGATTTCTGAGAAAGTCCCGCGCGAGAGCGCGATTTGGGAATAACTTGTGAGGAAGTCTTAGGCGGGAGCCGTCGTTGCTGTAAGTCGGGGGCGAGGGGCCGAATTCAGAGACCCAAGACTGCCCATGCTAAAAAAACAAGGTATGAGCCCCGGGTAGGGCACTTCGATTAAAAAACATTATGTGCCCCGGAGGGGTGGTTCGACAATAATGATTCCTCAGTACTGAATTCAACAACAAGACCAACAACAATAGCAACAACAACACCGGCAACAATGACAACACCAACAACAACCATACCAGAAACCGAAATTTCCGCTCGTTCGGCCAGCCCTGTGGTCAACAAGTCCAAGCGAGACAAACACGCTCGGCGAAGACACCGAATGATCAAAACAACAACAACAACAACACCAGCAACAGGAACAACGGAAACGAACATGACAGCAATACCAACAACAGAGCCTGCATTCCGAACCACGAAAACAACGACATCAACAGTAACAACAATAATGCAAGTACCAACCTGTGTCACTCATCGCGGCCATGCTTGGTTCGTACATCCTCTGGCGTGCTGTGGTCTGATCACAACGAGGAGCCACCAACAGTGTTAGCTAATACCATGGCCCGCACAAGAGAAACATCAGCAACAACGGCACCAGGGCAGAAAACACCACCAACAACAGAACAATAGTAACGACAATAACCACAAACAACAAACAACGACACCACGACCACCAACACCACCAGAACACAACGCCGCCTCCAAAGGGTATTCCGTGACATACGAACGCCGCCTCCGAGACGACCTAGAAATTGCTTCGAAAAGGCCACAAGATTACTCCGTGAATCCTAGTTGACCAGAACATCTCCCGAATATGGCTCCGCTGTGACTCCAATGCGTTTCTCCCTTCTGCCCGTGCTCGTGGCTTGGGCCAATTGGACGCCTGGGGGTGCTGGCCCTCCGCCCCCTCGCCGTCGTCCTCTTCCTCCTCCCCCTCGTCTTCGTCGCCCTCGTCCTCGTCGTCGTCGCTGTCCGCCTGGCCCTCCCGGCCCCACACATACCAGAAAACCGAATCCCCGACACAAGCCGAATCCAGAGTTTCTCTGATGCAGACGAACGAGAATGAGAGGACGGGGAGGAGAGAGGACAGGAATGAGAGTTGCGAGGAGGAGGGAGGAATTGGTTGGGGACAAGAACGCGTGATGATAGTGAAAGAGATCAGGATGAGCGGCCCTCCTGCTGTTCCTCCTCCTCCTCCTTCTCCATCGCATCCTCATTTCCTCCACCTCCCCCTCTCTGCTACCTGCTCCTGCTCCGCTCCTCCTCCCGCTCCCTCCGTGGCGATCGTGATTCTTTCCTGGCGCAACGAACCGCCCGACGAGCGCTCGGTCCGGAGACCGCGACTGCCTGACTGCGCGCCAGATGGGGGGCGGGACAGCTGGGGGCGCCCGCCTGAGAGGGCGGGGGGGTGACCCGAAAGCTCCCGATCGGAAACCTTCTCCGAGACCTCCTCGAAAGACATCCGATGTCGTCCAAGCTCAGCCGCCCCGATGCGCAACACGCAACCCGTAGGTAGCGTGTTTGCACGGAGCTCAACGCGGAGATCGAAGACGTACGTCTGGCGCGGCATGATCGCCAAGGCGTGAGCTGACACGAGCCGAACCAACACGCAGCGTGTGGACGCGGGCGTTTCGTTTCGAGCACGGCACGCGTTGCGCTTCAACACTGAGCATCGTTTAACCGACCCCTATCCCCCTGTGCGTGGGCTTGGTCCCACTGGTCGATGCGCCCCCCCCCCCAGATGGGAGTCTAGGCACTTTCCTTCGGGCTTCGAGGGGTATGTCCCCCAAAATGGGGTGCTGAGATTTTGGGTAGGGATGGAGATGGGGAGAGGAGTCGGTCAAACGATCCCGAGCTTTTGAACACGGCACGTGCTGCGCTTGAACACGGGCGCATCTGGGGAAATCAAACGGTACCGATACCACTGCTCCCCGGGGCCTCTCCCGGGGCGCGTTCTGACCAGGATTTCGAGGCGAATCCAGCGGTGGCGACGAGGGCCTCTGGGAAAACGAGAGAAGGCTACGTGGGTACGTTTTCCTCCTCTGAGCGTTGCGCTCCAGCACTGGCGCATCATGGCAGCCAAGCTTCCGAGAACCCCCTCGCAGCCCTTTGCAAAAGAGAGGGAGGAGGGAGCGGGAGAGTGAGAGCGGGAGAGGGCGAGGGAGAGCGGGGGGGGCCTCCGACGCGGGCGCGGTCCCCAAAGAACTTACGGTGCCCCCCGCGCGCTTCTCATAGCGGCTTCGTCGTGTCGATCTGGGGCACGCGCGGCGGCCCGGAGACCTGGCGCGGGCTGCGGACCTTGTGCGTCTCCTCGACGAGAAGGCGGAGCAGGACGAGCAGGAGAAGGAGGAGAAGGATGATGATGAGGAGGAGCAGAACAGCGACGAAGCCGAGGAGGTAGAGGATCATAATGACGAGAACGTGAATGAAGATGAGAAAGCGGAAGTAGACAGAGAAGGAAGCAACACATGAGCAGAAAAAGGATGAGGCAAAGGGGAACACGGTGCCGCGCCAAAGCCGGCCCCGTAAACCCCGGAGGGCCACAGGGGGCCGAGACGAGCGGTCCAACGGACACCAGCCTGGCCAAGAATGAGCAGCCCAGGACGATCCCAACGCGCGCGTCTTGCCCTGCCGCCGCAGACCCCCGCGCACCGCGAGCAACACAACAGGTTATGGCGGGCGATTTGCCCCCCCCCCCCCCCCCCCCTCCGACCTGGGCCTCCACAAGGGGCGGTCCTCGAGCCGCGCGGGCCGTCCTCGAGCCGCGGGACCCGTGGGCAATGTCACCCGCGATCGAGGCGCCCCGGTCCGTGGGATGGGGCCTCGGGAGCTCCCCGGAGGCCCGCGCCGTGCAGAAAAAGAGGTCACGGCGCCGCCAGAGGCCTGGGGTCTCTGGGATTCGAGGGAGAGCGTGCCCGGTCGAGTGCGCATCGGTTGATGCCGCTCGTGCGTCCTCGGGGCCCCATCCCTGAGGCCCCCATCCTTGAACTGTCGCCCTCCCCCGTGGATCCCCGCATGCCCCCCCTCGGAGTGGCGGACGGGCCCGCGCGCGTCCCTTGACATCGCAAGGTTCACCGTGGGCTTGCAGCTTCCGCAGGGCTGCTCGCTCTGGGAGGCAAAGGACATGGCTGGGGGCGACGTCTTCATGTCATAGCCGACCACGTACTCGTAGAAAATCGGGGTGCCGAGGATCCATACGGGGCCGTTGCTTGAGGTCTGGTAGTCCATCTCTCCGAACATCGGTGTGCAGACCTTCTTCTTCGACTTCGCCAGGCGGGTGTCCGCAGGGATTTTGCGAACGCCCTCAAGCAATTTCAAAGCGCTCTCGGCCTGGTCGCCAGACACCTCCATGACGTACATGTGGCCGGGGATCTTCAGAGCCTGGGCCTTGCCATCGCTCCCGCGGATGTGGAAGTGGAGGTCGGGCAACTCGTCAAATCCCCCGTGCCCCCAGGACTCGCAGTCCATGAGAAGCAGCTGCAGCACGTCGGACTTGCTCATGCCCCCTTGCATGTTGAAGGGGTTCATGCCGTAGTGCTTGCTCATGGCCTCGCTCGCAATCTGCTCGGCCTGCTCCAGTTTGGTGAAGTTCTGGCGGCAGCGGTCCCAGCCGTCGCAGATGCCCTCCAAGAGGGCACCGATGTGCTCTTTCGGGCCCATCAGCATCGTGGTGCCAGAGTCAGGGATGGCACCGCACGGCGACCTGAGGAAGTGAGGGAGAAATAATCACATGAGCGGGAAGAGGGAAGCGGCGCTGGGCGACCTCTGACCCTTCGTCATGTTCGTGCCGTGGCAGAAGAGCACGTCCCCCACCGACTTGCTCCCCACCGAAATGCCCCGAAAGTCCACGCCCCAGTGCTGGGTGCCCATGCCACCGAGGCCGTGCTTCAGGGGAGGCTCGCCGATGCGCAGGACGCCGTCACCGCCGTCGTTGAAGCACATCGAGAAGCGACCGATCCCGGCCTGCTCCAGGAAACCCGTGGGCGAGTCACGGTGCTGGCGCTTGGGCTTCTCCAGAGCCGCCTTCAGAGCCTTGCGCATGTTCTGTTCAGGCGGGGCCGCCTGGCCGCCTTCGGGCCCGGAGGCGCCCATCTGGCTCACGATCTGCTTGATTATGTCCTCCATGCTTTGGCCGCCAGCCACGGCAGACTCCTGCTTGCTCTCCTGCTCCTGCACTGCGGTCCAGTTTGTCGGCGGCTGCGGCAAGCCCAGGCCAAGGATACCTTCGAAGGGTCCATTGATGTTCAGTGCGCGGTCCGTCATGAGAAGCAGGCCATCTTTCAGTGAAGCGTTGACCTGGCCCACGCGCACCTGCTCCTGTGCCACCACAGCCTGGATCTGGCCGCTGCCGAAGGAGAGAACCATAGACACAGGTTCCTGGTCATCGCCGACCTCCAGGTGAAAGCTCGAAGATTTGTTCGAGCCAATGAAGCACCTGTCGGTCTTGTCGCACTTGCCCGCACTTTGACATTGGCATGACCTCAAATGAGTCTCAACATGACCGATACTCTACATGTTCAACTGTCACGGGTGTTCCCATCTTTGGCTCCATTGCTGAGACCTCTAAACCATACACATAAATGTACACACAAATATGTATGCAATTCGACTACATGTCTGTCGCCGTTTCCATGGATTCCCCTCAGCTGTTCAAATGCTGCCATGCTCACCCGCACCGTCCTGTCTCCATGTTGCCATGCGTTTCTTAAACGTTACTAACTCTTTCAGACCTTGCCCGTACGAAACTGGTTTGGAGCTGCCCACCAAGGCAACAATATTAGTTAAGCAAGCGGGCTTCTGATTCTGAGGGAGGCTCAAGGGTCTCCGGCGAGCGCCGATTTCAACTGCTGCGTTTGCAACTCCTCTTCGCTATGTGGCCGCGCCGTTGTTTGTGTGTTATCGAGTTCCGCTCGCCTTTCTTCCCCAAACAGTGCTTGCACAGAAGAAGTCAGACCTTTTGTTCTAGGGAACTGGGCCTGAGTGGAGGCTATGCTGCCGCCGTCGCCGCCCTGTCGCCGCCTCGTCGTCGCCCATCATACGAGCATTGGTGGCGGTCTGGCGGCTATGTTGCCGACGCCGCCGCCCCGTCGCCGCCCCGTGTTTGCAGTAAGGGATTTTACTTCTGTTCGAAGAAACTGAGCCTGGGTGGCGTCTAGCGGCTGCGTTGCCGCCGTCGCCGTCCTGTCGCCGCCCGTCGTCTGAGCCTGGGTGGCGGTGTGGCGGCTACGATGCCGCCGTGACCGCGGCATATGTCCTCCTTTCAAACAAAAAGAAGATCCACCACCCTCCCGAGGCCAAGGTAAAATATTCACCTTTTTCGTATTGCAACTTACAAAATGGTTCTGCCCCATCGCCCATCCGAAATATGAATTCGTACCATCCTAGGCCGGCCAGTATCGATCCACCCCCGTCATCCTCTGCAACATAGAAAATGCGCGCGCACTAGTTTATCTTTATCAAAAACCACCGTTTATAAAAAAACAACAGTTTCCAAACATGCAACGCAACACACTGTGACGAAGAGCGCCCGCGCGCGTCGTCGCGTGCGCATGCCGCAACCCTTCAAAAAATTGTCTCCGTAATGATTTCAAAATCGAGTGTCCAACAAACATAAACCACAATGGGTTCGCAACGCTGGTTTCCAATCAAAGTTTGCGCGCTGTTGCAAATTCGCAAGGGAACCAAACAATTTTTTGTTTTTTTTCAACGTGCTCAGAACATTCTACCAAACGGGCTTCGCGCGCGCGCATGTCGAAATCGTTCAAATGCCCCTTGCGCGCGTGCTGTTGCAAGAGTCCTTCGCAAAAAAAACGAAGTGTGCACGAGCGCGTCGTCGCGCGCGCATGCTGGAATCAATTCAAAACCTTGGTTCATAAAGATTTCAAAACCGACAGACCCGAAACCACAGGGGGAAGAGAAGCATGATCGACCCAAGAACCTGGAAAGGACAAAAATGTAACGCATGGCAACGTTTTCAAAGACACCTACACCTGATTGGGTGACGGGCAACTGCAATGCTGATTATATCGATCTTGATGTACCCTGCCGAGGGCTGTGCTGTGCTGCACCGTGCTGAATTGCGATGTGCCATGCCGCGATTGTGCTCTATAGCATCGTGGATCGAGTCCTCCTTTGCATCCGAGTCCTGACCGAACTGATCTGGATCTTAAGCTCGAGCTATCTGAACACATAGTAGCTGCCCCAGGGCTAATCGACAGGGGGACATGCCAGGAGGACGCGCCGCGAAACGTCCCAAGGGATGCGCCAGGCGACGTGCCAGGGGACGTGCCATGGGGTCGCACCGCGGGACGTGCCAAGGCGGCGCGCTACGAAACGTGCCAATGGATGTGCCACGGGATGTGCCAGGGGGACTCGTCCAGGGCCGCCCCACGGAACGTGCCAAGGAACGTGCCAAGTTACAATGCTGAGTGTATCGATCTTGATGTACCGTGCCGAAGTCTGTGCTGTGTGCGTCGTGCTGAATTGCGATGTGCCATGCCGCGATTGCGCTCTACAGCGTTGTGGATCGAGTCCTCCTTTGCATCCGAGTCCTGACCGAACTGATCTGGATCTTAAGCTCAAGCTGCCTGAACACATAGTAGCTGCCCCAGAGCTACAGGGGAACATGCCAGAAGGACGCGCCGCGGAACGTCTCAAGGGACGCGCCAAGCGACGTGCCAGGGGACGTGCCATGGGGACGCACCGCGGGACGTGCCAAGGGGGCGCGCTACGGAACGTGCTGGGGACAAGCGTTTCGCTCGACACATCCTGTCAACATCCTCATGCTAGACATCCGCCTGAGCGACCTGGACACGTGAAATGAAGCGTTTCGCTCAACACATCCTCAACACATTCTCATGCTGCCTAGACATCCGCATGGGCGAGTTGGAAACGCGAAAACAAATGGTTCGCTCGAGACATCCTCAACACATCTTCATGTGAGACGTCCGCCTGGGTGACCTGGGCACGTGAAAACAAGCGTTTCGCTCGAGACGTTTTCAACACCTCCTCATTCTAGACATCAGCCTGGGCGACCTATACACGTGAAAGCAAACGTCTCGCTCGAGACATCGTGACCTGGACCCGTGAAAACAAGCGCATCGCTCGAGACATTCTCAACACATCCTCATGCTAGGCATCCGCCTGGGCAACCTGGACACGTGCAAACAAACATTTCGATCGAGACTTCCTTAACACATCCTCATGCTAGACAGCCGCCTGGGCGACGAGAACGCGTGAACCCAATCGTTTCGCTCGAGACATCCTCAACAAATCCTGGCGCTAGACCTCTGCCTGGGCAACCTGGAGGCGTGAAACCAATCATCTCGCTCGAGACATCCTCAAGACCTGGGCACGTGAAAACAAGTATTTCACTTGAGAGATCCCCTGAATCCTGGTCCCCAGGAGAGAACAGTCTATAACACAAAACAAGCGTTTCGCTCGAGACATCCTCAACCAATTCTGAAAAACAAGCGTTTCGCTCGAGACATCGTCGAATTATAACTCGCCGCCCCACCTCGACCTCGATATTTATCGGAGAAGAAATTCGCTGGCCCACCTCGAGCCAAACCCGGGGGTAAACCATCTAAAAGAGAACCCTGGGCTTAAGCCCTTTCTGGGAAAAAACAGGTTTCGCTACATCCAGTTTAAGGAAAGCCTGCCCTCGCGCTCTTGCGAATTCTTACGAAAACCATAGGGCGTTCAACATTTTCATTGAATTCTGCACAACCGGCCTCTTGCGCCGCACGTCGAAATTATTCGAACGTCCTTGCGCGCGCGCTGGGGGGCACGACCCGAATCAAATAATACCATGCGGCCGCTGACGCACGTCGGCCGCGCGCGCATGTCGAACTCATTCCTCCAAGACCTTCATCACCGACGCGAAGACGCCGTCATTGTCGTCGGCTTGGTCAGCAACGGCGCCGTCATTGGCCGTGCCGTCGTCGCTGTCACCATCGTCACCAGCATCGCTACTATCATCATCGTGTCTACCATCGTCGACGTTGCCATGATACCGCGCCCGCCGAAGTCGTCGACTCGCACTGAAGTGCTCGCTGGAATGTGCCCGACGGCCAGTTCCACCGCAGCCGCGCCGGTCGCGCCAAACTAGCTGGCCGCTGCGCGCGCCTGCATGCGCGGGCTGGCGCGGCCGCACAGATGCACCAGCCAACGCCAAGCACTCATCGCAATCGCCGCCGCATGGGTCTCACAAACCAAGTTGCGGGTGGGTGGGTGGGATGTTTGCAAGAGCAGCGGAGTGGACAACTCACGGCACACAGACATGAATTCTCCTTCCTCCAAGTCGAATACATAGATTACGACCTCCCCGGATAAGCAGTTCTCCATGTCGTATCGCAATAAATTTGTGATTCGGCCCCATCGTCCATCCTACATATGAACTCACATCATCCCAAGGGGGCCGGTGTCGGCCCCTTCCGCCACCCTTTTGCAAACATACTATGCGCGCGCACTCGTTTTATCAACATGATCGACCCACGGACCCAGAAAGGAATATAGAACTGTAACACATGGCACATTTTCGAAGACACCTGATTGGGTGACGGGCAAATGCAATGCTGAGTGTATCGATCTTGATGTACCCTGCCGAGGGCTGTGCTGTGCTGCACCGTGCTGAATTGCGATGTGCCATGGCGCGATTGTGCTCTATAGCGTCGTGGATCGAGTCCTCCTTTGCATCCGAGTCCTGACCGAACTGATCTGGATCTTAAGCTCGAGCTGCCTGAACACATAGTAGCTGCCCCTGAGCTAATGGACAGGGGAACATGCCAGGAGGACGCGCCGCGAAACGTTCCAAGGGATGCGCCAGGCGACGTGCCAAGGGACGTGCCATGGGGTCGCACCGCGGGACGTGCCAAGGGGACGTGCTACGGAACGTGCCAATGGATGTGCCACGGGATGTGCCAGGGGACGCGCCACGCGACGTGCCAGGGGGACTCGCCAAGGGACGCCCCACGGAACGTGCCAAGGAACGTGCCAAGTTGCAATCGTGAGTGTATCGATCTTGATGTACCGTGCCGAAGTCTGTGCTGTGCTGCACCGTGCTGAATTGCGATGTGCCATGCCGCGATTGTGCTCTATAGCGTCGTGGATCGAGTCCTCCTTTGCATCCGAGTCCTGACCGAACTGATCTGGATCTTAAGCTCGAGCTATCTGAACACATAGTAGCGGCCCCAGAGCTAATTGACAGGGGGACATGCCAGGAGGACACGCCGCGAAACGTCCCAAGGGATGCGCCAGGCGACGTGCCAAGGGACGTGCCATGGGGACGCACCGCGGGACGTGCCAAGGGGACGCGCTACGGAACGTGCTGGGGACAAGCGTTTCGCTCGAGACATCCTGTCAAAATCCAAGGACATCCTGGCAAAATAAACGAATTAGTCGAGACATCCTCGAAATTCCTGCGCGCGGGACGCGGCACGCGCGAGACATCCTCGGAATTCATGCCAAGCATTTTGCCTT